AGCAGTAGCAATAGTATCAGTAGTCGTAGTCGTAGTAGTAGTCGTCGTCGTCGTAGTAGCTGTAGTAGTAGTGGTAGTAGTAGTAGTAGTAGTAGTAGTAGTAGTAGTACTAGTACTAGTAGAAGAAGTAGTAGTAGTCGTCGTCGTCGTAGTAGTAGTAGTAGTCCCTAAACTGTAAACCCAACAACCATGATGCGAATGCTAAGCATCGCACTGCAGAGGAGCCGGACCTGCCTGCTGACAAGATGAAATTTCCATTCGTGCTGTGCTTACGGCCGGTGGATGAGATTCGCAGCAAGTTCGCGGAGTACAAGACAAAGAAGTTTGAACACATTCAAGAACAGTTGGGACTTCTGATCCTGGCTTCGATGTAGTATTTTTTGTTGGAATGACTCCAGCCTTTTAGCTGTTCCTGTGTCATTTTCGAGTCCAAACCCAGAGCCGGTGCAGAGTCTTCCTCAGCTTGGAGACATGCGTTTAAAGTCGCATGCATGTCCCACCTGCCCCAACATTTTAGCGCATGGCCAACCGCGAGCAAGGAATGCCAAGACTAATTTCTACGACATCTACGCCGCCGCCGAGCCGAACACGACTCTGACGAAGATTGGAGTGCTAAACATGCGCACCCAGTTCCGTAAAACCAAGTTCGGAGACACGAAGCTCTTCTTCCGAAGCTTGGTTGAAAGGTGACTTTGACTCCGGTAGGCAGGCGTCGCACTGTGGAGCACAATGGCAGCATGCAGGGCGAGGCGACGAGGAAGACTACAACTACTGTTACTTCAGACTCATGTTACAACTGATATTGGTTCTTCTACTCCTCGGCTGCTATCTGCTCCTCCTTTGGTCAATTGCGCCTCCTGCTATTGCTAACGACGACGACGACGACAACTGTTACCGCTGCTACTCTTACTCCTACTACTGCTGCTGCTACTACGACCAGGGCGACGTGGACGACTACTACGCTTGGTACTTCCGCTACTACTTCTACCGCGGCACTGACTGCGACTACGGCGAGAAGTAAACATGATTACACACAGCTGCCGCTACTTCGAGCGACAAAGCCAAAAGCAAGGTCGTCGGCTGCAGCAAAACGAAATTAATACAGCTCTAGCAATCTCCGGAGGCGGTCAAAAACGATGACAAATTAAAGGCACCAGTATCATCGACTGTGTCCGCGACCGCGACAAAAGCAAGTACAGCGGCAGCAACAACAGCCATTGCGGCAACACTTACAAAAGAGCCGTAACAAGAACGGGAAAGACTGCATCAGAGAGTTCAACGGCCCTCAACACCGAACCCTCAACCTTTTAACTTCCATTCATCAGCCTGTGCCGTATCACTTGCAGTACTAGAGGAAGAAAAACTCTGCATCTCGGCATAAGTGAGTTTAGTATGTTTAGGGCAGTCTTGGAAATCTGCATCTCGGCATATGTGCATTTAGGAGGTTTAGTGCAGCCTTAGTTGTAGGGTACGTTTCCCGTTGAGCGATGCTTTACGCATCTGAGCCCCAATCCCGACTAGATGTCTGCCGTCAGCACCCTTCAGTTTGGGTCGTGCCTCGGGTCGTCCGCTGATGATACCCAGAGAACCCAATACCCCTTAATTAAGGAATATACCTTAAACTATAATACTAAGGCCCCTATTATTTAAGGTATATTCCTTAATTAAGGTGTATTGGGTTCTCTGGGTACTGTTTCAGGTCATGATTGGTTCGAGAACGATTTGATGCGTCGTCCAGATTGGGCTCCAGTGGTCGATGACAAAAACTTCTGGCTCCAGGAGGGTGCGAATAAGCGGTACAGCGATGTGGACCCAGGACAGGGGGGTTT